CAGCCCCAAAACACTATTATACGAGAAAAACATATATACTTTATATGCTTTGGGATCTTTTCACTTTAACAAGTGCAGTCAACAGTCAATGAAAAATGCTCCTGTGCCTTTCTTATCTTAAATATACAAACTCTTCATTTAATGTTGTGATTAGCTACAGGTATAAAACTCCCATGGTAAGCAAATAACCTATCCTATAGGACGCCACTGGTTTTGGCTTGAATTTTAGACTCATGCAGTATGATGACTGTTTTATTCGTGCTTTTCCCCATTATTGCAGGGAAAGTCTGGTATTACTGATTTTACAGACAAAATTCCCCTCTAGTAGATTGTTAAACTGAGGGTTAACTGCACAGATATATATACATCCAGAACGCATCCAGAACACTCATCCTCCTCAGCAAAACCTTAAGAAAATTTAAAATCTATTTGGTCTAGCACTTGTGCTTTATTTCCTTTAGATCTGTACTAGATCAAGTGTTCTGCCTAGTCAAAGGAAACTACATGCCAACTGGCACTGACATACGTCAGTGAACCACAAGACAAAAATCCCCAAACATCACCTTCCTACTTCCAGTGTTTCTTTGAACTTCTACATATAGAAGTACTAGAAATAACTCCCTCCCCCTCCCCCCGAAACTGAAATGACACGTTTAAGGATTCCTAGTACAACTGTCAATTAGCACAGTTCTCCAGCATGCTCCTGCCTGCTGGCTCCCTCTCATCAAGACGGATTCAGCTTCATTTCCAGCTGCAATGAACACCTTGAAGGCGAGGCCTTGTGGGAGCAGCCTCTTACCTGGGCACCGGAAAGCCCACCAGCAGGACTAGACTCTGCATTGACTCCTGCTGCTTGCTTTCCCCCAGCCCCAGCCCTTTCTTTCAACCCATTTCCCTCTAGTGTAAAAATAAACTCTGGACAAGACATCAGCTGGCCAGTTTTCACCAACACCTCTCCTGCCGTGAGGAGTGGTTCTGAAGGCCAACGCTGAGCCTTCCTGGAGGTCACAGCTCAGTCACAGCTACCCACTCTCCTCCAGCAGCTGCACTGATGAAGCACCTCCTAGCTTTTCACTGCATAGTATCAAGGAGACCGGATACAGCAGTTTTATTGCAGCTTACTGCTGTTGCTTTGTGCAACAGCATCAGGAAAAAAGCAAGAACTGTTTAAATCCAAGCCTTTTTTAACTTCTAAAGACACTTCGGATATATATTTTTTTTTTACGCGTTGCCCTATAAAACCAAAGAACAATCATCTGCAAGGTGATAAGTTGTACCCTCCACTCTCATTTGCTACACATGCTCCTTATTTTAAACTGTTCTGCAGCATTAGAAAAAAAAATGCCACAACTTCCATGTACAACCAACAGCTACATGAGCTGAAACTTCAGGGCTGGTCAAGGACTAGCGAATGGCTGTGGTCCAAAACCTCGATCTAAATATCCTTTGATGAACTTTAGTTTTTGTGACCCTATCTTAAGAGTAGGGCCCCAAGAACACAGAAACCTTTAGAAGGAACAGTCACACATCGTTCA